TTAACTTCCACTCCTTCAGTTATGTCCATAAAGATATTCGCAGTCTACTTATGAAGAACATTAAAGATGAAAAATTCACATCTGTAAATTGCAATTCCAAATACAGTGGCAACAAGACGTGTTTGCACGTACTCTTATTTTCTGATGAATTTTAGTTTTATCTATATTTGATTTTCATTCTCATCGAGTTTTGACAATTGTATATAACGCGAAAGAGAGTGTACATCTAATTAATTACTGAATCGAATGTTGTATCTAATTAATTAGTAAACGCTACAAGTACAAATGTGTGCAAAACGTTTTGTAATCAGTGTACATCTTCTATGAACAAGCAATACTTGCCTGTGTTCAATCATTGTGACAATAATAGCGCAGGGAAAATTATTGCGACATAAAAAGCGGAATAAAAACGAGTCTTATTGCTCGATTGATTATCTTGAATTTACACAAACTTCTTTTGCACGCTGCAAATGTATCATCACTATGGCTTCGTTTCCCCCGTGCAGCTCATGAATGATATAAGAACGTTTGATTGATATAATAGAAAATTCAAAATCGATCTTCGCCAATTTACGTCAGAGTCGTCGCTGCAATGACGTCGGGCTGCAATGTACACTAGGTGTACGGTGATAATCATTAATGTGGTGTGTTAACTTTTATGTAGGTAATTCAACACAGTACTACAAATTTCCATATTATCAGATTCCTCAAGTCAAATCTTCAAGTTTCGATTCTTCTGAATTTTTTTTAAATTTTTGCATTTCAGACTGGTAGAGTTTGTCGAATATGAAATCCCATCCGTGTCAAGGGATTCACCCCTGGAATTCTTCGATTTCCAAATTTTCGATGCCCTTTTTGAAAAAAGAAAACCTACTTTCGATTTCGTATGGCATTAATGATTTTTACCGCGCATCGCCATACGTTCGAGCGATTAACCCGAGCAAAGTCAATGGCACAACGTGGCTCGGAGTACCCGGGTGTCCATCAGATCCGTTCAAAAAACGAGTACCATCAAGGACGTGGATAGAAGCACCGTCTTTTTTCTTAACCCTTCCCCCCTCCATTTCTCTCTTTTTTTTTTATTATTTATTCGCGTTGCGTCGACGAAATTCTACCATCGACTGCGGGACGGTTTTTTTTTTTTTTTTTTTCTAGTAGCTCACGTACAGACATAGATACACAAATTATACTTAAGCGTCATTTTTACCTATATATGACCGTTCACCGTTGATTTTATTTTATTTTATTTTTCTTTTCTTTTCTTTTTTGGCTTTAACGTGCGCTCGTTTAATTTTGTCGCGACGAAAGAGCGATCTGTAAGATAAGAGGTTTCCGAGGCCGATTGTCGATCGATCCACTTCCATATCGGACGTGAAAGTTCATTGTATCCGATAATGAACGAGTATACGTTATCAGGGACAATGTTTGACATTCTCCCGTTGACGGTAATATTTGAATAACCTTTGGTCCATTTAAATTGAAATCTAGAGAAAGATCTTATCGATAAAGACATTCAGCTCAGTTGGTATTGTAGTTAGAATTGAGAGTGAAAATGAGGGGCGGGGGGGAAGAAAAGGGAAAAAAGGATATTCTATGCCAAAAGTAGAAGAAGATCGATCGACTTATCGACGGAAGTCGTCAATCTGTTCCTAGTGCACATTGCACAAAAAGAGACGAATGAAAAAAAAAAAAAAA